AATTAGAAAATCAAAATCCTCTGGTACCTTTTAGATTGCCTTGATTGTCTTAAATCTTCATTTCATCAATGAAGAAAAGACAGAAAATGTTTACATTTTTCCAAAAGGTAACTACAGGAGACCACAAGGGCTGACTTCCCACTTCTGGGAAGGCTCTGACGCCTGATTCAAAAATCCTTTCATTGTTTCAAGAGTTTCACAGTATTGGAGGTTTCTTCCTGGGGATAATGTTCTTGCAGATCTCTGATAGATCTGACAGTGGATGGAGGATGAATGAATTCAGTAGCTTCTGAACACTGATTTATCTGTAAGTACACCCAGAACATAAAAGCTGTTCTCCACTAAGATTCACAAGAGCTTTCTGTCATTCCTTTTGGTATCAGCACTCACAGAGGCAGTGGTCATTTGCTTCACAATATCACTTCCTTCAGTTATTTACATCTACTTTTCCTTTGTAAAGCAATTTGAATTCCTTTTCCTTACAGAAATTCAGCTATTCTTCTAGTTTTATTTCAGAATTTCTGAAGACTTCCAGAGAGAAAAAAGGAACCTTGATAGTTATGGACTTCCAGAGAGAAAAAATTTAAAACTATGGTTCCTTACCAAAAATTGGTAAGGAAATAAAACAACAAACCATTCATGCCAAACACCCAAAAATAAAAAGGCCTTTGTTTCAAGTATGTTCCTTTTATCTGTTTCTGCAGCCTAATTATGTACTTTATGATATGTTAAATGTTTTCAGCTGGTTTAGCTTTTAAATCTCAGTTTTCATAAAATTAAGCTGTAACCAGAAACTACAATATAATTCCTCATTACAGAAAAGAAATCAAAAGCATGTGCTTATGAAATAAAGAAAAAGATGGGGGGATAATCAGAGCCGAACAAACCTATACATTTTTAAGTAGCTTATTTTTACACTAACTTTATTAAATCTCCCTATCACTATCTTAATTATCTTAGTTCAGTTCAGTTCTTCAAACTGAAATAATGATCATTCCTAGCAGAATGCTAGTAAAATAAACATTACAATTGGTGAAATGTCCAATATAACAAGAGGAATGAAATAAAATTTAGCCTTTTAAATGCCCAAGACAAATTCATCAGTACACATCTTCAGTTTACTACTGGAACAGTCAGGACGTCACTGCAAAATTCATTATAACACTTATAAAATCTTTTTTAAAACTTAAAATACATAACAAGGGCTATAAGAATAAATTTTATGTGTCTGCATTCAAGGTCAGAAACTGTGGTCAACCATTCATGATGGCTAATGACAAACAAGGGGGAAAAACAGTTAATACTAATTGTTTAGACTGAATTTCACAGAAAGCTTTGATATCTTAAAACTGAAATACACTCTGAAAACAGTTCACTAGAAATTAAGAACAAACTATACAAACTTTCTTAACTACATAAAAAAGCAAAGCAGGTTACTGAGTTCTGCAAGCAGGGAGATGAAACAGAGGGTCTTCTGAGTTCAATTCTTTCCTTTTATAAGTCCAGACAGACCATGAAATTTCTGTTCCTGTCAAAATCCTACAGTAATGGAATAACAGCCAGTCAATATCCATCCTGAAAAAGAGACTTTTATAACTTTAAAACCAAGCAACTACCAAATAGCCTTATAAAAGCACACCTTGATCAACAATTACCACATTATGGTCACATCAGACTTCAAATAAATGTTTTCATAAGCATACTGCAGGACAGAGAACAGTAAAAACCTGTAAAGTCCATATTTGTTAGAGAACCTTTCACACAGTGAGCCTGGTCTGGGTCACACTGAAGGTCCACTTAGCCAAATAGCCCTTCTTCTTAGCAATAGGATCTTAAAAGCCAGTGTGGTATTTCTGGTTATATTTTCCCAGCTGCTAGCAACGTGTCAGTTGCAGGATGTCCTCAGACAGAGGCTGGACATACATCACCTTCTTCATAGCTTCTGATGAGCCAGGAACTAATTGTTTTCTCAGAAACCAAGAGACTCTATTGATGCATTTCTTAAATGTAACTATTATGAAAAACATTTTTTATTACCTCTTGTAATTTCACTGTGTGCTCCCTTCTCTGTGCCATACAGGAACAGCACACAGCAGTTCTTTATTTGTCTGTTTCATGCTGTTGGAGATCTTATGTACCTTTATGTGTTTTCCTTCTTTCTAGTAGACTGTTATCCTCTGTAAACACCACAGAGAAAAACAGTGAGATCTGTTGCCAGTATGTTGTATCTGATGATTAGGAAAAGCAAAACTGACATAAATCTCCTACATTTGTCTCCAGGTTTTTCATCGTGTGGCTCCAGATCCTCCTAAATCAGGAGCCCCTGCTAGAATATACTCAATTCACCTTTGTTTTCTCTGTTCTAAATCTCCTCAATTACCACCTCCACTTGTAGTTGCCTCAGGCTTAATCCCCTCTCACACTTCTCTGCACCTGCTGCCTGTTTCCTGCAACAGCCCCTTTCCATTCCACACATTTGACATCTTCCTCCGTGCTGTACTGCTAACAGCAGAGAAGAAAACAGACAGCAGTAAATTACCTGCTCTAGGTATTCACACACAGCAGCTCCAGGACAAATACCACAAAGAAAAAAGGAAGCATACTTGATTATCTGCCAAGGTATGTATATGTAAAGCTGTGCGCATGCATGGAAGAATATGAAAAATTTAACCACCAGTCTCTGAAGAGGTTCTCCCATACACACAGAACTACACTCCAGAAATTTTTAAGCTAGTCACATATTAGCACAGTGAGGATACACAATAGCCTTAAATTCCAAGAACTTGTTCCAGGTCTGAAGATACTGATACTTCTCAAAGTTCCTTCTTGATGGAATGTTTGTTGTTTGACATCTTGTTTGATGGCTTGCACTAGTATGCCTATATAATTCTGTATCCACTAAAAAGTGAAAGTAGCTGTTTTCTTATCTCCTTAAATTCACTCACTTGGATTTTACTCTATTCTGTATCCACTAAAAAGTGAAAGTAGCTGTTTTCTTATCTCCTTAAATTCACTCACTTGGATTTTACTCTATTATTTCATGGTAAAATTACCTGAATTGAAAGCATGAGAGATTACTTTAAGATCCAGCAGCCCCAGCATTACCAATCAAACCAGGCTCCTACAGCCAGGACACCTAGGGAGTGATTCCTTCCAAAACCCTGTGGTTGCTCTGATATAAGTCATCAGTGAACTTCTGCTTGCTGTGATCACATTTTGTGACTTCTGCTTTCTTGATGAAATGAGGTGATAAAGCACCCAATTTGTATTCAATACCTAGGTTCTTAACACAAAATAAAACATAACCATGCATGTGGGATATATACAAAATCATCTTCTCACATCTGGAGATGGAAATTTTGGAAAATAATTTTTTAAATTACATGATATAATTATTTTTCTATCATAGAATTAAATAATGGGAAAAGAGCCAGAAGACAACAAACAAAACTCCCACAATCAGTGAATATGGTCTTCTTTTGCTAGTTAATAGCCAGTTAATAGCAGAAGAACCTGTTCAATCCATACTCTATTGAATAACGGGACTGACTGCATCCCACATACTTCCACTCCAGAACAGAACAGCTGCTAACAATATTAACTCTACTGGAATATAATTTAAAATTTTGGCAAACAAAACATATGTTGCTTTAAATACATTATTGCTGTACTTTATTAATTACTTTCAAATTGCTTTAGATTGAAAGCCTTTGAATTTATTAGAAAGTAAAAGTAAATAACTGACATTTTTTATTAAAATTATTCACATTTTACCAGCAATAACTGAACCCCAAAAAACCCCAACCATAATCACAGCAAAAAGATTTTATTTTCTTACGTCAGAGAAATGACAAATGAAAAGAGACTAGAAGAGCTCTTATATCCTACGCATTCCAAGAAATTTAACTTAAGCTTTACTTTCAAAAATTAACTAAGTGGAATTTAAATACTGAAGTGAGAAGTAGAAAAGTAACATAAAAATAAAAAAAAAAAAAAATCAGAGATTTAATTGCACTATCCAAGAAGGTGACTTTTGTACTTTACAGTCTATTTAAGTGCAACTAAACCCCCCTCAGATTCAAGGAATGTCTCTAACTAAAGATCAGACCCGAGCATGCTCAGCAGAAGATATATAGCAAGGTAATGCCAGTAAAACAATGTATTAGCAGCTGGTTTGTAGCTAATTATGTTGCTGGTTCACTCTGGTATGAAAAAGAAACCCTGAAGGTATTTCAATAAAGGTAACAAAAAGGTAACTTCATCCCAAAATGGCATGTTCTATGCATACAACTATTAGTTCTCCTTATTTCAGATGCTCATTAGAGACCATGGTAATTTACAAAGAGTTCTGAAAACTACTTGACATGCTACCACTTTGTTTCTCAACACAGAATTACTGTGGTCCTAATTTCACCTTCAGAATCATAGCAGATATCCCAACCCCCGAAAATATTCAAGATAAATAAACTTCTCCACAGTTTTGAGGAAGATGGTAGTCAGGGGTACCTTTCAATTAAAAGTTTGAAAGAAAGAAAATAATTGATGTGGCTTAGACACTTTCAACAGACCACAGAAATGTGGGCATAAAGAGTAGGTCAGTAACAAATTTTAAGAAGAATTAAAGTTGTCTTGCACTTAATCATTATCCTTCCTAAAAGCTGCCTGAAAAAGACAGCAATGGACACACATGGAAATTGAAAGAAACCCCAAGAATGAAGTGCTTTATGAAAGCGCTTTATTATTATTTGAAGTTCACAGAAACATTTAAATCAGTCCTTCAAACTATAAAAATGGAATTTTTTGCTTATCATAGCCTAATGAGAAAATTCTGATTTCACTATAAATGGTAAAATATTGTCTTGAGCACAAGTGCTCCTTATCCCATTGCTTACACAGCCAATTGGCTACATACCTCTCCCATTTAAATCAGGATTATTTCACAGAATCATCTTAGTATGGAAGGGACCCATGAGAATCACAGAATTAAACTCATAAGTGAATAGGCCATATGGGGGTCAAACCCACAACTTTGGCATTACCAGCACCATGCTCTGTCCAGCTGAGGTAATCTGCTCCTGTCTTTGCCCTTCTCCACTTCTTTCAAGAAGAAGAAGAAAACTGGTAAAATATATTTGACTTATTCCAAAGGTTAACAAAAAGGAAGAATGTGCTTGTTTCTCTACAATAAAATCCCAGGAACACATCTTCAAACATGAAGTTGCTTTAAGATTTGTTTAGTTACTGCTTTCTCCAGATGAATCAGAAGTGACAAACTAAGGATCTTAGTATCTAATTCATGGAAATATAAATGGGAGTGCATTTCTACACATTGGAGAGCCTGAGTTCTCTATAATAGAATTTAATGAAGTTTTGGGGAGGAAATAAAACAAAACAAACAAAAAAACCAAAACCAAAGCACACACAAAAAAACCCCGAATACACCCCCCCCCCCCGAAAAAAAAGTAAGCCTAGGAAACTTCTTGGGACACAGAAAAGGAAATCTACTCTGTTTACTGTTTACTCTGTTGTCCTTCTTCATTCTTTTACCATTGTCTTCAGGCTGAAAAATCTGCATAATTTAAGTCAAGACAGTCTTGGTACCTCAACCCATTACTTCTCTTTAAATATTCACTTTTTTTCCTGAGTAATTCAATAGCATTTGCAGGGGAGGGATGCTGCAAGAGCTAAAAGGATGCTGCTAAAATCCGAGCTACTGATTCAATTACTCAAAAATTTTCACTCCAGCAACAGTTATGAGGCTGCAGCTTTTCAAATCTCTTACATTTATCACCTGAAAAAATATATTTGCTTCATGTCAGAAAGCAAATTTCTGGAAGATTTTCAGTTTGGATGTCAAATCTTTCTCATTCTATACCAGAAATTTTCATCAGAGATGTTAATAGCACAGAAAACAAATTAATGCTTTACGACATCAGGATATATGCTTGTAAATTCCTCGAATCATGCCTAAAACTCTCCCATCTTTTCAGTGCTATAATAATGCATGATTTTAAATGCAATGACAGGTAAGTCATCAATTGATTTAACATCTTATACACAAAGCAGAGCTGAAAAGTTACATTTACAGTATTGTAAATTTAATTTTCAAATTCTCATGATAGAAGACATGAGTACTGTTACTGAAATATACTTCAAATGCACAGTCTATGAGGCTTTCTATCAAATGTAATGAAAAACCCTCTAAATTTAGCTCTAGAAGCAAACAGAGGCTTCCTATCTGTTTCTCCAGCACAGACTTCCTGGCAATCTGCAATACCTACTGATCAACCAGGAGCTTTCTTAAATGCATATCATGAGTTTTCTCAGCATTCAGCTTTATAAGTTCATTGCAGATGTGAATATATTCTTCAATGAAAAAAATTACTTTTATCCTTGTCACATACATTAAGAAAAAATATGACATTCAAAAAGAACAAGAAAAAGCAAGAACAGAACTTGGAATAGAAAGGAATAAAATATAAGAGAAAGAAAAAAAAAAAAAACCAACAAATTCCAGCAGTATATTATGAATAGGTAAAATTACCTGAACAGCAGTCAGCAATAATTTATCTGCTATGGATTTTAACTACTTAATATCCACTATTTGAGCAATTAAGCCAAATTTGAAGCTATTTAATTAGATGTGATATATTAAGAAAAAGCAACTGTAGGGAAAAAACACCCAATAACCAGGAAATAAAAGAACAACGGTAAGAAAAACAACAAAAACCCCATCCAAGCAAAAAATATCAAGAAACCCCACATAGTAAAATCAACTATTAAAGAAGTTGACTTCCCTGAAAATCATGGAATAGAACAGAGTCACAGAATAGAATATGCTCTGTTGGAAAAGACCCATTAGGATCATCAAGTCCAGCTCCTGGGCCGGCAGATGACACCACAATAATCATACCATGAGTCAGAAGCATGCTAATTAAATGTGACAAAAACTACCATATTAACTCCCTTCTAGCTCAATACTACTTATATTCCAGTACTTTTGTAATCATTCTAAGATACACCACAGCTGTAGAAATGTTTTGGTTTTCTATTCTGTTTTTAATAAGCACATGCAGACACAGAAGCAAGGAATGAAATGCAATGAAGGGAAATAAAACCAATAGAAGAGTATTCAAGTGGGGCGGTGGGGTTCTTTTTGGCAAACTAAAATTGTTGTGGTAATGGTGTGCAAATGTTTCTAGGAGCTTCTTTTCCAAAACAATACTAGTAGTCCCTGAATTTCAACTCCAAACCTTCTCTGATTTGCTCTTTATCTTTCTATGACTGGCATCATTATAGTCACCAAACTGGTTGTTAACTTTGCTCAAAACGGTAGGAGAAAAGGCATTAAACACTTCAGCCTTTGTTGTAGTCTGCTCTGATAATTTTAGTCCCTTCATTGAGTGGTGAAGTATTCTTGGTCTCCCAGTCCACTATGTATGTATTCTTAAAAAGATTTATTGCTACTTTCAAATATTCTTTATTTTGTACTGGGCTGGATATTTATTAGAAGCTTAAGCTTTCTGTTTTGCCTTGTTCTGTAATGCTTAGCCTCAGACAGCTGACCTTGGTTCTCACTTTCTATCGTTTCTTTTCTGCATTTGAGATTACAATGATTGTGATCAAGGTCAAACTCCTACTGCTCTTTCAATACTTCCTCCATGTAGGAAAATTTTATTCTCATGTTCATTAACATAGTCTTTCCCTAACTTCATTTCTTCTTTGCTGTACCTCCCAGAAGGCTTCATCAATCCAAATCTTTGAGCTTATGAAATCAGTCTTCCTAAGAGACATTCCTGCTATTTTGCTCTTTTCCCTTCTATATTTTCTAAGGATCATGAACTTGTATTTCAAAGTTGCTCTTCCACAAGTGTTCACTCAAATCTTTCAACTAAGATTCTTCTGGAAAAGTTTATTGTAATGTCTATACACTATATTTGAGTTCTCCAAATTCATATCCACAGACATTCCCGACTCAGGATTTAGCCAAGGCGTACGCATGTAAATATACTTATGAGTCAAAAGCCCCGACTAACTACTTACATGTTCAAGATACAAAGTTTTCTATATTTATTTTATATATATATAATGTATTACATGAGCATATTATGGCAACTAGAATTCTACTGTCACTTGTGCCAACAGCAGCTGGTAATGTGGCAGCTCAGTGTCCATCCTGTGACAAATGGGATTCTCAAAAAAAGCCCTTCCCCCATTGCAGATCCACGGGACACTCCCTCACAACTATTGCCTAAGCACACACAGACTCATCAATTGAGCAATTAAATAATATCAACAAAAGCTATAGCAACACAAAAGCTCAGTGGTTACAGCATTTGCACAGAAGGACTTCAATTCTATGTCCTTCATCCTGATCTGTGGTTTCACAGAAACACACACTAATGTACAGTCTGTGCCCGTCCCAAAGCCATCCTCCATCAGGGGTCACTTTTGAGTTCTGTGGCTGGAGCATCCAGGTGACAAAAAGTTTCTATTAGATGCTTGTTTCACTTTAAAGTGGTACTTACCGGCTTTTTATAGTAAACTGCCACTGTGCAAAAATCTTGACGAATTTCTTGGAACAGTGTGTGTGAGGAAAGTTTTGCCATCGTTAAAGCATTCGGAGGAATAGACATACACACACAAAAAAAGTTCATTTCCAGTTTCCTCAATAAAACTAAATGCCATGATTTAGCACAGATAACAGGATACAAATAGCTTATTTCAGTCTGATTCTGTCCCTTAGTGCCACGCAGTTCACTGTACCTGAGAAAATGGTGCTCACTGATGTGGCTGTGTTGTTACTAGGCAACCAGAGATAAAATGCAGGGCTTAATGATTTTTATTTAATGCATTTTTATGAGAAAGTACACTCTCTTTTTTTCCCTCCCCTGATATTATTTGAGGTGTAAATGCTATTTACTCAAGAAGATATATTTAGCTATCTTCTGCGATCTGAACAAAAAAATTATTCAAATTGGATATTCAAACAGCCAGTCAATAAATATTTCTAAACATATTGACCATTACCACTACCAAACACTTTCATGGTGGCGGTGGCTGAGATCTCAAACCACTTCACCAGGGAAAAATATTCAGTAGGGCTCACAGCAGAGAATAACAGAAAACACACCAGGGCTCAGGGTCATTTGGGACAGTGACAGACACTAATATACGCTTCTGTGGCAGAAAGCAAGAGCCCAGGCCACCCTTTCCCATGCTGTCATGACACCACATCTGGCAAGGTCACACCATGTTTTCTCCTGTGGCTTTGGGTAGCCCCAATTCTCTACGAAAAAGAGGTGTCTTGACCAAAAGTCCTGGTGGGGCTCTGCTCAGAGGTGTCTCTACAGGGAGATGCCCATGTTAAGAAGCACCCTGTTATCACAGCCCTTGCCCTAGGAGTCTAGCACACATCCAAGAAGCCTCCCTGCAGCCCCAAGCTGCCTCGCAGTTCATTTCCCATTACAAAATTCACAGCCTCTGTTGAGGGTCCTGACAGTAGTGACACCTTCTCAATTCAGCTTGACCTTCATCCAACAGTGTTGGAAGTGTTACCACATCTATAGTATCACACAAGTTACTTCACATGCCATGCTCTTCCTTTCAATCTTTACAAGGGCTGGTGGCTTTATGTAACTTCTGACCATTGTGTTTCTTTTGTATCGGCCAATTTCTCAACTCTCCCATCTTTGCTACAAGAGCAGGAACGTGATTATAGATCTGAAAAAAACCTGAAAGCCTCAGGCTGTGTGCATGAGAGCTCAGGTTCAAACAAAGCTACAGGCCTGACTGCGTGCTTAGCTTCTAAAAGTTCTGCAAGATGAAGTGAGAAACAGATGAACTCCCTGCATCATTTCGCTTTTATATATAAATAAAGCCAAAACAACTGATGCTGCCAACATTATTTAGCATTTGTCTCTGCAAAGGTTAACTTCCAAATAACAGGAATCATGCAATTCAGTTGGAATTTTTTTTTACCTTCAATAATGGGTCACCTTCAAATTAAAGTAGAAATTCCACTGCACTTAGCACAGTTAGATTTTTCCCAGACCGTTATCTGTTCCTCAGATA